CTGTGAAATCTTCTTTAGTAAAATAATAGTGTTTCACCGATACCAATTCCAGCACTAACTTGTTGGTATTGGTATCAGTGATTACCAACAAATAGAGCACCAATATTATTTTGAGAGCCAAAAGTTAGGTCAACTATTATCACCTATTACAGGTAGGCAATAAAAAGTTCTACTTAATTCACTTTGTATTAGTCTTTTTCCTGCTTCACAAAGGTAGGCAGCAGCTATGACAAAGCCATGATGGCAATTATTTTACATCCAAGTAGTATGCAGTTCTTCATACATACAAACACACATCAATTTCAAACAGATGGTATCGGTATGGTATCGTATCGGAAAAATAATGCACAGCAAGGTATTAGGTATCGGTATCAGGGCCAGAAAATGGCATCAGTGCAACACTAGTACAGTACATAATGTATTTACTGAGAGGCTGAACAAACATCCACGTACTGTAATCTGTAGGAAGAATTTCTTATAGGAGACAGCAGCTTTGGAGATCCAACTGCATGCTTCTTCCCACCAATCACCAGCTTTCACCATGTTTGTCTCTGGTCTGAACATTACACATACAGTATATCTCAGTATCCATGTGTCTAACCTCCTTACTGACAGTCAGAGGATCTCAAAAAATATGTGGCTAAAGATATAAAGGAATACATAATTTCCCTTTCATTTCAGAAGCTTAAGCTACTTTTCGAAGATCTACCATGATTTACCATGGCTTTTATAAGAGTTGGTAAAGATCCAGTCAAAATTGCACCATTGTTTGTTGCTGGCTAACAGTATTGATACATATTGAATGGCTTATATAGCGCCTTTTTAAAGTCAGGGGACTACAATGAACTTTCTACTGCACTCAGGCATTCACATACTAATGGTGGCAAGCTACGTGGTACAGTAGCAACAACTGCTCCAGGGCACACTGGCACAAGCAAAGCCGCTGCACACATGGGCCACTGAACCCCCTAAACATCAGTAGGCAATGCAGGGGGGAAAGTCTCGCCCAACAGCTGAGACAGAAGAAGTGGGTGGTTCAAACCACTGACCCTCCGGTTGTAGGATGAACTCCAGCATCCTAATCCACCTGGGTCTCATATCCATTCTGCATGTCTAAACAATCATTCTTACCACTACAGCCAGGTCCTCTGCAGACAGGGAAGAGAGGAAGAAGGAGCTGCTGATAAAGGAGGGGGTTTATTTCATGTCTGAAAAAATCGATTGGGCATATAACAGAAAGACTTAAAGAACTTAAAGAAGCAAAAGGGGGAAGAGATTAAAACTTCCACTTCGGCTTAAGAATGAGATCCTTCACCTCTGTTGGGGTAAGGAGATCCATAGCCGCATACATCTGGAGTTCCAGGATTTTATTTTTTTTGTGAGGACAGTCCATCAGCCCCCTCCTCTGGACTCAGATGAGTCATACAACCCAGCAATGGATTTTGCTGTTTAGGTCTGGAATATGACATTCACATATCTCTTGACAAAGATGATCATTACCGACTGTGGGGCAGAGCACTTAAGCAGACCTTTTTTCTAACTTGAACAGGTGAAACTAAATTCAGGTCAAATGCCTCATTAATGTGGTACAATGGCAGCTGTAGAGAGGACCTACTGTGCTTGCCAGTCAGGAGATAGTGTGAGAGAAACAAAGGCAAGTTAAAAACACAAAGCAAAATTTGATCAATTTCTGAGAGTCCTAAGACTTATGGTCCAACAATCCGCCTAAATCATTAACTTGCTGATTAAAATACTAACATTATTTTTCTCCACATCCAGTAGATTCAATCATTCCAAAGAGCAAGTGATTTTACCTAATAGGACCTGCAGAAAAAAAAAAAAAAAAAAAAAACACTAAAATTACTAGAGCGTTGCTATAAGAATGTTCCACTACCAGCTCATCCAGTTTTATCTCTAGTGCCTCATGCAGTAACAGATGAATTATTTTCTATATAATCACCCAGTAAAGTCTGATCAAGAAGTTGTGCACTCAAAAAAAGAGAGCGGAAGAGTTTTAATTTAAGCCTGCATTAGAGCTATCAATAAACCAAAATAATGTGTAGATGGCTTCTTAGTGTGCCCACCATGTGGGACTCCTGTTAAGAGAGGAAAACCAGAGGATCAATGTGTGCATAAAAACTCTGCTAGTAGGAAAAAACAGCCTGTTGCACTTGTCATTCAGTGTTCTTTGCCCTCACTAACTCCAGCCTCAATCAAGGGGACATGAGATTTAAAGCTGAAATATCTTATTAATAGTATTTGAAAGATAGTGTACATTGATCTACCATATTTTTAAAATGATTGGGCAATGATCACGATATATATATATATATATATATATATATATATATATATATATATATATATATATATATATATATATATATATATATATAGATTGAAAGAGAGAGAGAGAAATATAAGAAATCTAATACAGTGTGTGTTTTATCAAGGCACCCAGAAAAAAAGAAGCTGTTAATTTATCTTATACTGTACACACTCAGCTTCTGAATTTGTTATGATTATCATCAAGCAAAAAGTCTTGGCATGTCAGTTCTGAGATAATGAAACAGATAAGGAATCAGACGGGAACCAGCTTGCTTCAGTGTTCAGTGAAGTGAGGAACTAGCGAGGCAGAAATGAATCATTCAGGGGGGCTCAGGCTTCACTTTGAGACAGGTCTCACCCTAAATGAGCTGTGGGAGCTAAAAGCAAGAGGTTAGAGGTCAGAAAGCTCCTTCCTCTAATGAGAAATCACAAAGTGAGCAAGTCATAGAAGATATTAGTTTGAAAAAGAAACACATTCAAAGTTGTAAGACTTCCTCTCTACTAAAAGTTTGATTTTCTCAAACCTTAACAGATTGTAGAGCCAAGCTGAATTTTGTAAACACAATGTACTGATGTATCAATAATAGTAATCTGGTCTAAGCCAATGGCTTCTGCAACTTAATATATTAATTATTCTATTACTGTGTCCCACTATCAATTATGATGGCATGAAGTGTTAAATGAAAGAGATAGCTAGTAAGAGAACTTTTACAAACCCAGAAGCACGGCTAATTGATCGTTGATGTCTAAGCAGTTTCAAAAAGTTGAAGTTTAAGGAAACATTTCAAAGAGATGCCCTTGTTGTAAGATTTGTGATCGAACTGAAAACTGAGCAATGAAATTAACTAAAAAATAAAGATGAAATGTTGCCTATTTTCTGAGAACTCTAAGCATAAATTGGAGCTATGTTTAGCAATTAAACTTCACATTTTGTAAAATTACAGAATCAAAGTGAAAATATTCTAGTGAGATTTTATTTTAGACTAACACTGCGGAGGACAATATTTTGAAGGAAAATGTATAGTGTGTCGTTTATTTGTATTCAGAGCCCTTTACTCTGATTGAAAAACTCCACTTTGATAAGTTTCCCCCTGTGATATTCATGCTTTTCTTCTGCTGGTATACGGGGAAGCTGCTGAAAGCTGGTGGGAAGAAAGGTGAAGCTTAAAGCTAAGCTACGCTATAAAAAATAATACTGTTGTAGATTTCTAATGGTAAGAAAAATGGAAAACCACACAGCGTTTTCCTTCCTCTTTAATACCACATGCTAATGTGTGTCAGGCTACCATATTTAAATCTCATCCATCTGCTGAGTCTGCCATGTTGTATACTCTTATAAATTACAGTAAACAATATACTGTGATTTATCCTTGTGAGGGATTTGCACAAACCAGCCAGAAAACCACAGACATTTTTCAAAAAAAGAACTCAAACACAAACTGACCTCACAAACAAGACATGAGGGAAACTTAAATAGTGGCTGATCAAACCACTGTTGACACACAAGGGGGATAACTGACTGACAAACTAACAAAAAATAAACTTAATCAAATAGATAAAAACTTGCCAGACACTAAATACTTTTTTAATGTAACTAATTAACACAATTACCCAAACTAAGAATATTTAAACAAATGATAAACAAATTTCCCTTCCCATTACAAATGGTGTGACCCGCTGATTAGCTTGCAACAATCAATTGAGGAAAGCTGGAGCCCATTGCAGGCCTCCACCAGCAGATCCAAAGGAAACTGGCAACTCAAAGAAAAAGAAATGAATCAATTGCATCTTAACAAAAAAACAAAATGAAAATGTTAACTAAATGTGGGCACTGCAAAAAGCTAACTTAAAGTCTGGCTAATGAAAATATATGAAATGTGCAACTCATTTTGGAAAATTAAAAATATAAAAGTTACCACACAGCTTCAGAGTGTGACAGCAGGCTGTCACAATCATATTTTTACATACTGGAACTATTGATTTGTTACATTTTATGACACAAATTTTACTTTAAATAAAGTTCATTCTATGTACATTTTTATTGTGTAATTACAGTATGAATATATATTCTCAAAACTAAAGTAGCCTTCTTACGTAATACTTTGTATTAGTACGTAATAGTAAAACTATGATAAAGTAGTGCTACTCTTAGTTAAGTGCCATTTTCAGGTAATATATCCACCTCTCCCATGCTGAAAGAGGGCTGAATACAAAAGCACAACTGACTTTTTAACCATTAATCAGTTTCCAGCCGATTAGCAAATACAAAAATACCTAATTTTTGCCAACTGCCTGAGATACTTCAAGGCTTTTACTAGGAAAATAAGGGGTAGGAACACTTCTGAAAGGTGAAGTGTCTACATCTAAGATGGTTTAAGAGATAATACTTTGAAATAAAATGTTAGACAAACATTTTCTTCTGCAGAAAAATACATTTTAAGTAAATAAAGGTTTATGTTGATAGAAATGTGTTCTACATTACTCACAAAGGAACACCTTGGGCATGTTTTCTTTTTTCTTTTCTTCTCTCTTAGACTTGTTTTCTGGTTGGCTGCTGTGAATTCAACCTTCTTCCTTGTCCTGATTGGCTGGGAGCCCAGTGGGCAGGTGATGAGGGTAAATAAATAGACGGCTGGCAGAGGAGCACATATTCACATGCATCTGTGTCTCTCAACACCTTTCAGCTCTGCCAGCACAAGTTTTTACCAGCAAGCAACACCTGCAAAAGGAAAAACAAGGAAATTTTAGTCTTTGCAAGAAAAAAAGAGAGAACATAGTCATGTCTTTTGAGACAAAAGACAAGACTGAAGTGCGTCTGGTGTTTCTAGGAGCAGGCGGAGTGGGAAAGACAGCCCTCATCCAGCGGTTCCTCAAAGACACCTTTGAGCCGAAGCATCGTCGCACAGTGGAGGACCTCCACAGGAAAGAGTATGAAGTGGGGGGAATCAAAGTCACAATCAATATTATGGACACCAGCGGAAGCTACTCCTTCCCTGCCATGCGAAAGCTCTCCATCCAGAACAGTGATGCTTTTGCACTGGTTTACGCTGTGGATGATCCAGACTCCCTGGAGGCAGTCAAGCGGCTGAGAGAGGAGATCCTGGAAGTCAAGGAGGACAAGTACACTCCAATTGTCGTCATTGGCAACAAGATAGACCGGCACAAAGAGCGGCGGGTCTCCAGTGAGGACGTGTTGTCCACTTTGGAAGTGGACTGGAACCATATTCTCCTGGAGTCCTCGGCCAAGGACAATGTCAACGTGATGGAGGCCTTTAGGGAGCTGCTGCAGCGAGCCAACCTGCCCACTCCCCTGAGTCCAGCACTCTATAGGAGAAGGGAGACCTTCCCCAAGGAACACAACAAGCGCCCCCCCATGTACAAGATCAACAGCTGCCTCCTTTCATAGAAATGGACAGAGAGAGAACAGTGGGAACCAAAAGAGCAAAAGACTCACATCAGTGGAAGAAAAACTAAGAAACAATGTTTGATAAAATAATCAAATGTGCTCTTCAGCTCCCTGAACTAAGATTCTCCTGCAAAGACTAAGAGATAATATTGGATCAATGTAATTTACGTTGACTATACTTACTGTGAAACTTTTAATATTTGTATTTATATTTAACATTGCACAAATCCTGATGGTGCTTTGTTCGTGCTCAAAACTATTGATGTCTTTGTCAGTAATAGTGATCAACTGTTGAAAACAATCAAAATCTGTGAAGCAATCAGTGAAAAGCAATACTGTTTTTTGTCTCCAAATTTAACATTTTTGCAGCTGAAGTAAACATGAAAAAAACAATCTGCTTTTTATAATTGTTTGATAATTCTTACCTTTTGACGTATGTGTATATTTTGTTTTACGCCACCAATTTGTTTTTAGATCCTCAGTTTGCTTAAGAAATAAAGTATGATAAAATGGACTTTTGTTGTGTCTGACAGGGTTGATCGGAAACAAGAGAAAATGTTGCTTGACATTTTCCTTGTTCGCAGCTTTCACGGTATAAGAGATATATTCATAAAATGCATCCATGACTGGATGAGAAAAGAAAATGAATTAAAACCAGAGAAAGGCTTTAGTCATATTTTCTATTTAAAAATTACTTTTCAAACATTCCTGACAAATAATCAATATGGCAGAAAATAAATGACAAAGGAATTAAACCGCTGACATAAATCTACTTGTAATAGGCTGGATTTAGAAGTCTGAGCAAACATTTCTGTCTGTTGATATGTTTACTACACCCTGAAAGCAGTCATGTTTTACCAGATGAGGAAGTGTAAATAAAACCATGAAAAAAAACTCAACTGTCCTGTTTTTTTTTTAAGCATACAATGTCCTCAAATGTAACAATACCAGGTAAATTAATTCACAGAGGTGAAGCAGGTATTAACCCTAGTAGTAAGGTCTAACACAGCAGTCTTATGCTCCTCTTAGTTGCTCTACTGTCCTCTGGTGGTGGATTAAATCACATCATAAAAGTTGCTGCAGTGGTAAAATGCAGATTTGTTAAATAATAAATCGTGTAATTCACAAAAAAAAGAAAAAATGTTTTAAACCCTTTAAGTGTGATATCCTTAAATAAAATCCAGATGAACTAATGCCTTTAAATATCAAATAGTTAGATTCAGTGTAATTAAAAGTCAATCTCAACAGAGCTGCATCTAAACATGCATCCCTCTATCTTCCGGATGTGGTCCCTCTCCAAACCTTGGGCCATGTCTTTTCTGGATGCGTGTCTGATGTGCCTCTGCCATCCCTTGAAAGCCTTTCTGCTTATTTTTAAAGACTCAGAACTAGGTTTTCATTTAAATGTGACAAGAAATCCAAATACATTGTGCACGTTTCTTCACTATTTAGTAACAACTAACGTCGCCTCCACACCAGCATGGTCCAAGATTAGTTTCATGGCCAGAACAGTTTCTTAGACTACATGAAAAATAATGTTATTTGTCCCTTCTGATATCTTTGAGGGCAGGTGACCCTAAACACCTGAGCCCGAAATAGCTTAACTACTGCACCAGCATTGAGCTGGTTTGATGAAGCAGAGACAGGTTAAAACTGCAGGACACCGTCCTTAAAGGACTTCAGTTTGAGACCTGTGCTTTAACCACACCCTCCCCATGGTAAAGCACAGTGGTGGCAGCAGCATGTTTTTGTTTCAGCAGGGACACAGGAGCTGGTTTAAGGTGATGAACTGACAGATACAGCAGCTAGTTAAGCTGCAAGGCACAAGGCCTGGGGGATTTAAGAGCTCTGCTTTAAAGAGTAAGTTTGATTTGATTTCTAAAGTTGGGAGATTTGTCTGAATTAAAAAACAGCTTAAATTCGTGTTTCTCCTGCTTGGTTGTTTCAGTCTGTTAAGAGAATCAATTTTCCCTGCTTAGCTAATTCAGATTATTTGTTCTCAGGATGAATTTCTGACTGCTGTATCTTTTAACGGACTCTTTTATGATCTAATAAAGCACTTCACAGGGGGTGTTGATACTTCCACTCTGTCAAAAGGCTCAGCACACTTCCTCTTTCCACAATTTCACACCCAAGGTGAATTGTTTTCCCCAGAATGAAATAAGGAAGCGTCCTGTTACAATCAAACTTTTGCTTCCTCTTTGTGCTCTTTAAACTCACGGCTGCTGCTTTCTATTTGCTACACTAGTGGTAGTCCCTTCTTTGTGCAATTTATCTATTTTTTTTATTTAGGCTATAGTGATGCAGCCACCAGCCTTCTTTTAGATGGACCTCTTATTAAAAAGGTTTGCTCCTGGACTTGGTCCAAGCTCCTCAGAGCTGTATGGTTACCTGAGAAGTTTGGAGCAAGTATAGGATCTCTGAACTTTTCTGCATCGAATGTTTTCATTTTTCTTTTAAAGTTCTCTTCTCTATGCGGGGAGTTTAAGGTGAGTGAGGCACTTGACGTTCGCCATTCAATAATAGATTATTATTTGTCACTTTTCTCATTTCTTCATTGACTTTCACTAGGAATCGACAGGGTTAAATGGTTGAAAAAAAGCCCACACAATTGGAGGGAAACAGGTTTGATTCAGCATCCAAAGACAGTAATGGTCAATTTAATCAGGTCAGAGTGTAAGATCTATTTTTCTTAAGGCCATTTCAAATAGTATAAATAAAAATGTGATATCAATTCAAATTGTTAGTTTATTTAACCAGACAGCAGATAAAAGTAAGAGGCGGATAATCTTTAGATCTTTAAATATTGCAAGATCAGAGTGAATTTTCCAAATATGGCATCATTTATACAGGGAATTTGGTTCATTTTCTGCCCTGGACCTGATATTAAAGTGTAATATATAAGGTTTCAATACAGATTAGGGAAGGTTAATATCAGCCTGTTTCATCTTTTGCACAAACCAGTATCAATTAGTCAGTGGTCAATGTGCTGTTAGAACATCCTGCAAAGCTCCAGCTAGGAGTAGGTACTTATTTAAGGTTAAATGTAATGCTAAAGTTCTCCTGGCAGTTATAGGATCGCCTCCACAGGGACTGCTAGAGGGAATTTAGGCTTCAAAGCCTCAATTTGCCTTCTCCAAATTGTGAGCTTTTCCAACCATCAAACTTTCAGTCAACAGACATTTGGTTTGACCATATAGCCCCCTACAAATTTACGTTGAATTTGGAACAGGAGGTTCTTTCTTTACAGAATATTTCTTGAGTTAAAGAAGAGGTTAAAATGGTTTAGTAGCTTTGTGTATCATTGGTTTTTGGGGTTGATCTGAGAATCAAATATAAATCTGGTTTCATTGGATGATGGCTGTTTGTACAACAAGAATTGACGTAAAGATAACTTCAAACAGGAACGCAACCAATCTCAACCAACTTAACAATTACAAGAAGATGGTAAGGTCATATGTATCAGGACTGCATTTTACCTTCTGATTTGATTAAAATGAGTGCAGAAAAAGAGGCTGGGAAAGAGGCAACTAGTTTATTTTATTTCACAATAACAGTCAGACTGACGGCTAAGGAAAGGGAAAGACGAGACATTAACAAATATGTCAAAGACAGACGCAATTAGAGCTTTAACAGGAGCATCTTTCGATGCACACACTTCTTCTGTTCATGCCGACACACAAGCTTATCATCCGCGGATGTCCTTTAAATATTTTAAAGGAAATATAAGCCAGACTCTTTCTATGCAGGGAGAAAGCTGGTTTAGATATAGTCACATTACTGCTGCATGGAAGACATTTTCACCAAATGCTATTTTTTCATTTACACACGTGCAGCAGCACAACACCTTGAAAAACTCAGGAGCAATGAAAATATGCAGTGGCATGTTAAGTATTTTCCCTGAGCAGAAAATAAGCAAAGTTCTCCCCTTCCAGCATCAGTAAGAAGCCTATGAAATCCCTTTGTTTTTTTGTGCATCTATCCTTAAATGCAGAATTTGACCCAAAACTGGGTGGTAAAAATGTTAAATACTTTTTGTGTGTGTTTATGTCAAATTACCATAAAACTTAGTGTTAAGAACATACCTACTACCCTTCTAATACCGGAATTAATATATTTGGTTAAACAGCTGACAGTTTTAAGATTACATAAGGTTTAGTATTGCAATTTAGCTTAGCTGATCATGCAATAAATAATTTCAAAGCACTGGCACGGGATTCTCATCAAAAAAATCCTAACGATGTGAAAAAAAAATATAGCATTCCCTAAAAAAATATGCCTTGTCCTGCTTTCCTTGTTGTAGTCATAAGAAGCAGAAAGATCATCACTTCTCCGCAGATAGAGCTCTCTATTAAAAATATCAACTTCTGTAGTGTATGACAAAATAACTGTAATTAGTCTTTGTTTTGTTTTTTAAGTATGAAGCAAGAAAAAACAAAAAAAAATCATTTTTAATAACATAAAAATTATAAATATATGTTTTCTGATTTATGTGAAACATGTATTTTGCAGATAAAAAGGAAACAACACAGCCCCTTTTGTTTTTTTTCTCCCATAGACAGATTTATCAGTGGGCAAACACTGATCTTTGTCAGGTTTAACACAATCAACCCCAGGATATCGAAGCAGCATCCGTCTCTCACATGCATTTACTTCCTCATTCTATGGCTTCTCAGATTTGGCACTGGTTGATTTACACAGACGATTGAAACAGGTTTAAAGCTCTTCTGTTGAACGATGAAACCCATACTGTCTTCACTTTCACAACATCTTGTGATCACTTCTCTCATGAAATTGAACTATACACGATGTTTAATAACTGTCTGCAACAGCAGCCCACCATCGAATTACAACGTCACCTTTTAATAAACGTCAGACTTGTTGGGAAGAACATGAAAGGTTTTCTCAAGAGTCGACAAATGCTTTCAGAAATGGAACAAAATACTAATTTTAATAGTTTTTAGAAAGAGGACAAATTAATTGGGTGACAAACGCATGTCAATCAAAAACACATGGAACAGCATTTTGCTAGTATAGGGCCTATAATATAGGTGCAGAGGCATCCAACATTGACACTCCTTAGTCGTCCACGGTTATATTACGAAATAAGTAGGCCATTGACTCCCCGTTGTGGATGCGGCGGATGGCCTCCGCTAATATCATGCTGACGTCCACAGTTTTGATTTTTGGACATTGGAGCTTCTGGACCTCGTGGGGAACCGTGTTTGTCACAACAACCTGAAAACACAAGTTCAACAAGTTGATTAAATTCTCACTTGAAAAAAATATATATCTTGATGTCCATTTGGAGTTTTATCTGCATTCTAGTTGCTATAAGCAGCTTTACCACATAGTAAGATGTTTTAAAAATGTTGTTTCATTTATCTTCCTCTTCCCAGTCCTTTAAATAAAATATTTTAGCTGTTAACTTCAAGCAGTATGAATATTGAACTTAAGCGCTCTAAATGTAGAGTATAGGGAAATGTTAGTTTAACAAGAACTGTTTCTGATTTAACTGGAACACCTGGCAGCTTTTAGGAACAGAAACTGATGCCTTATTAAAATAATGCCGCTGAAAACAATGAACTCTTTTTTCAAACACTGGAAATGGTTCAGACTGAGATTGAAGTAAAAAGGAAGTATGTTATCCTACACTGTTCTCTAAAGAACTTATACTGACTAAAATGCCAAAGCTTTAGTGTTTTTTATTACTCTTTAGCTTCTATGTTTAAGCTAATATAACCGCATGTCCAATAGAACACTTTAATAAAATAATAGACATTTCAGAAAAACCATCAGGATCTATATTCCTACCACATCAATGGCTGATTCCTCAATGAGACGAGGAGCGTCTGCAGAAAGTAACCCGTGGGTGGCCATGATGTAGATCTTATAGGCCCCTCTCTCTTTCAGGATCTCTGCAGCAGCAACAAAGTCTCCTACATCATCTATAATGTCATCCTGGGAGGAAATACAACAGAAAAATGTCTTTGTAGCTAAAAGTGTTTTAACGTGTTCACCCACTCTGAATTACAGGAATGGAACCACTGACACCAAAACCAGAGAGGTGTTGGATTGGGAGCTATTGTAGGAGGCACTGCAACAGCTAACAGTAAAAATAACATAACTAATGGAGAATTGCCTTATGTTGTAATCAAATATTCAAATATTAAAAGTGATCTAAATGTTGCAGCCATGATGTATAACAGGGAAGGAAAAAGGGAAAACATCTAGTGAATCTTACCACTATTATGGCGATCCTTCCACCAACATCTCCAACTACAGTAATCGGAGGTTTCTCCTTGGCCATCATTACTAAAATGAAAAGCAGATCAGGTAACCTTTTCACCATAGCTAGCAATATATGACGGTTCTCTTTCCAAATCAAAGACTAAATCTAAGTAGATTGGGTAAAATGGGTTGAGAAAAGGGTTTTTGAGCAACATAGCTCTCCAAATTACATTTTTTTTTTCTAAATACTTAAATAAATGTCTTAAAATGTTAAGCTAAATGACGATGGATCAATTAAAGCCAGCGGTTCATGTACCCCCTCCATTCTACCCCTCCTACCTCTGAAGAAATGGAGCTGAAAGCCTACACCTTATGCAGAGCATGCCATGCAAAGGTCAAATGACAAAAGGAGTTTCAGCCCAGGATACCCAATCCAAAAAAAAAAAAAAAAAAAAAAAAAACAGCCTGTATGCACACACACAGAGGTTCAGGCTCTAGTAGCACTCTGCAAACAGACAGTTTAACACGCACCAACAGTGGCAAGCACCGATGATCGATTCTTCATACACACTTGCCAATGTTCTGGGAGCAGCCAGTGAAATCTGAGTGCTGCCAGCAAAAAGCCTACATTTCCATGCACACCCACCTACGCTGTTTTAACACATTGATCCTCCTTTCTATTTGGCTTTATAAGTCACTATCAAAGTTCTTCGTAAAGACTCAAAGCATGCACTCATGCTATTGTTTAGCTTGACAACATAAATATACTCATCTGCCTCCTCTGCTGAAAACATAGACTTACACTGCCATCTAGAGGTACACTTAGAAGTCTACATACACTCATACTTTACTGCTTAAGCTTCTGACATCATTTTGGCACAATATCTAATCACATTTCACATCAGATGCAGCAGAGCTCATTAAAGCGGGTCAGTTTCCTGGCAATAAAGTAGTTGGATTGGATTTGGGAAGGCAGTGCGGAAACTTAAAGGTAACCTGCTGCACTGTTACTATCAGAACCAAAAGGGTTTAAATTCCCAAAGCCAAGGTATAGTTTTGACCCCTAACTTCCTCCCTTAGTCCAAAACCATACATGCTGGGTTCACTTGACCTAACAGAGGTCCTATAATCAACCTGAGGTTTGAGTTCCATGTCTCATCCATTTATGACGGACTGACAGTCTGAGCATCTTACCGACAGACTCTGGAAAAGGGGAACTTGAATCAAACTCTCCATCATTCAGCTACTAGAATCTCTACTATCTTTAATTCTACTGAAAAGTGATGCTTTATAATAAGAAAAAAAAGAGCCTAGTGAGTGCTGTGAAGCCAAGATAGGAGAATAGCCTCTACTTTTTTTTCTTCTAAGGAAATTAGTCAGAATTATACAAAAAAAAAGTTTAAACACTTGCAAAATGCATGTACTTTTAAACCAACCATTCCCCTAAACCTTAGCAGTATGAATGCATGTATATTTATGGCACTATATGATCAATCTTAAGCCGACCAGCATTATTACACAATCCAAACTAAGCCCAAACCTCAGCACAAAAAATATCTTTAACTTCTTAACTGGCCACATAAAAATCACCAAAACACCTAAAAACTAAAAATGAAATCAGCTCTTCTTTAATCCTTAGGAGGTTGCAGCCTCACCTGGCAGTAGCCAGATTTATATGAATTTATATAGAACTGAGTCTAAATTACCATCTGTTGTGAGACTGAAAACCTAAGATCTCGCGACAATCCAGCCTACAGCACAAGGCTGGGTGCAGCCTGCAATAAATCTGGAATCCCGCCCGCACACAGAAGGTGACAAGTTTATAGCCAAAAAAGGACTGAAGTTGCACAATTTATACGGTAGTTTGACCTTCACATTAGTGATGAGTGTATGTAAATTTCCTGTGCAGATCTGTACATATGCATCTCTTATATTAAAACAAGAGAAATACTAAAGCATACTAAAGCATTGGAAATGATGCATGTTATTGATTGAGGAAGGGTTAGTAAATAGCTTTCCATTAGCTTTGGTTTTATGAAAAACCTTGAGATGAACTACAAAAAAAAAAAAAATGCATAAATAGCGGTGTGCATGTAAATGCAGACAATTAGAGGGCTTTAGGAAACAATCAACTTTAAAACAATCAGCGAGGAAAGCTGATTGTGAAGGAAGAGTTTTTTTAAAGCAGAGAAAGGAAAAGCATGCCTTGTATAACACTGAATTTCACAAGCCCCTCAGAATCAGAAAACCCGGAATTACTTTGTACCCCAAGAACAGCAGAGTCCACATTTTTGTTCAAGATACACAGTTCTCCAAAATAAAGATGCGCTGCTTCATGTGACAACCTGAAAAACGCCTGGTTAGACTTTCGCTGTGGTGAAAAAAGAGGAGTAAACCTGCCAAAATTCATCATCTGCTGACAGTCATAGATTTAAAACTGTAATCTGTAAACTGTCATATTCCTGCTGACATTCTAATAACAGATCCTTAAAGCATGCTTCATTGTTTTCTCACATGCAATCATGAAAAAGGGTTAATCGGGTTAAGAGTGGTTTAAAAAAGGCAGCATGTGTTGATTGGCAAGATGAGTCCAACAAGAAAAAAGGAGAAGATCAAAATAAAACTGACGCAGTTCTGGTTTGATTTAAGGATTACGAACTAAAATGAGAGCACAACAAAACCAAAGAGGGGTTTGGTGATCTGGTAGAAGTAGTTTATCTGGAATCATAGGAAGGTGCAGTGAACATGGTATCGACTGTCAAGCCAAACACGGCACGCAGGCTTAGAGTTAAAGTGGAGATCAAACAGCCAATTGAAAAAGAAAAAAAAAACAGAAGTAAAAAAAATACTTTCAGCTCAGTTATTTAAAAAGTTTACATTTCACCAACTCCTCCTCATGAGTCCAGACTATATGCTTCTCAAGATGCAAACACAAACCCTTTTTTCTGCTATGCATGCACAAATTGTGGAGGAATTTGAAGAGGAATCATTTCATGGTCAGATGTAAATTAAATTTAAGTCGTACTTGGAAGCTCTATGCCAGGGAACGGAGCTTGTTGTTTGCCTGCTATTGTCGACAAATAAACACCACATTAACACAAATGCACAAGTATAACACACGATACACATTTTATGCCAAGACAAAAAACTATTTGGGTTGAAAGCAATAGGAAAAAAAATGTTAATAAAGCAGACTGAATCAAAGGCTAAAACAAAGCGTTAATTCTCTTCATTTTGGAAACTTCAAAGTTAGGCATGGAAACATAAGGAAGTATAAAGAATATTCTACAGGAGTCATTTGCCAATGAAACACTCATTTGATTTGGATTTTCTGCCCTTTGGGGTAGGAACCATCTGAGGAATTTGTTATGTTAAATATCTCCCTTTTTAGACCCCATTCATGCCGGATTATGACCACGTAACTTTTTCCAGGACCTTTAAAACCGTGAGAACACATCTAGATGGTGGCTGAGACCTTATGTCTGGACATGCTTGTTTAGTCCCAATCTGTGTTATTTCTCAATTCGTTATAGAAGTTTTCTTCTTCTTCAGTAGCATCTTAAGCCCTGCTTTAAAAAACAAAACAAAAAACACACATCATAAGCTTCTTTTCATGAGTAATCAGGATCTAGCAATAATACAGTTTTCGCTTTTTTCAGTACAGAAAAGTGCTTTTTTACCTGGGTCAATGCTCAGTGTGAGTATTACCACGACTGTAATCAGTAGTAATCATGCACCTAAAATCCAATAACTGTTTCCACTGTTAGTTGATTAGACAATAAGTCTCTAAGTTTTGTTTTTTGCAACTTTTTTATAACTATTCTTACTCCTTATGAGCCTCTGAAATGCTTTTTCTTTGATAGAGTAAAAACCACCTGTTCCAAACTGCAACCTAAGGAACTCTTAGCACCAAGCTAAGCTATATGCACAATTTGGAGATGTGTGTTCTTCTCCTCAGCAATTGCATTAAGAGCCCAGTATATGAAATGCTATCATCTAGCTCTGCAAAACACCAAGGCATTTTCACACCACATTGTATAAGTAACATAAAAGCAGACCACACTGAGACCCTGCAGAAACCAGCACTCTTAAGATTAATGATTTTAATATGCAATCTTTTTTTTTTTTCCTCTGTGGGGGGGGACTATTTGCAAATCAGGTACTGTAGCTCACTGAGGATGCATTGTGAGTACAAGTAGTGTGTCTTTGTAATAAATCATGCAATGATATAAATCAATTCTTTGAGTATGAGTGATGGTATGAGTGAGAAACAGCACAATCATCAGCTTAAAAGGGGGCAGCTCATATAGAAGTTGCATTAGACTGCTAAGAGGAACTATCCTTTTTAAAGCAGACATTAAAACACTTCACAGAAAGGTAAAGAATGGTATATTATTGATGGCTACATTCCAGTGTTTGAAATTTCTTTAATATTTTGTGATAGTTTGATTTTCCCAATCTAAGTAAAAAGTAATTTAGAGTAGGAAAACTGATGAGTGTACCGATAACTATAATGTATTAAAAGGAATGATAACTTGTTCCATGTTTCATTTTTTAAGGTCCTGGATTAAGAAAAAAAAAATGGCAAAAGAAAACAACGACAAAGTAAGAAAATTTATGCTAAACAAAGACAGAGGTGGATCTTACAGGGCAACTCCAGGCCTGTGTGCCCTGTGGTGTTCCGCACACAGGGTGGGGAGTGTCTTCCGTCAGCCATGTCCGACTCTGCACACTGGGCCTCGCCGTGGATCACAGCCAACCCCAAACGGAGACGTTCTGCGTAGGACTGAGCCCTGCAAAGACAGGACACAGAAAAAAATAAAGTTTAAAATTAAAAAAATACCTTTTCACTCTGCTGTGGTTTTGATGTTAACATTGTTAATAAACCTCTATTACCTTTTAGCTGCAGCAGGGGACTTTGCCACAATTATGGCATTTCTGTAATCAGGAATCTACCGGAATTAAACAAAGTTTTTGTTACTATTTATTTCAAACTCTGATTGCCTCAATCGTTTGGATATTTCAATGCCATTAGATAAAGACAGGAACGTATTACAGTTGGACAATTACCTCCTCTTGTATGTACTGAATCAGGAACGGGGAGGCACGCAGATTATCCACTGGAAAGCTGAAAAAGCCCTGGATCTCCTTCTGATGCAAGTCCATGGTAATGATGTGTGTCAATCCTTCAGCCGAGAAATCACATTATATTTAGAGAGACCTCAAAGAAAATCTGTTGATGACTGTTGTTTCTTTTTTGTTTTACCTGCTTTTGCCAACATTGAAGCTAACAGTTTGCACACTATGGAGCCTCTCTTCCTCATTTTGCACTGCTTGCTGTAGGGGAAGTAAGGAATCACTCCTATAATGTTCTTTGCGCAGGAAGTCTTAAGAGCGTAAGCCATGATAAGGAGCTCCATGATGGCTGTGTTGACATCTCTAGTTAAAGAAATAAAAAAAGGAGGAAAACAAATTTATGTCTTGAATTAGTAAGAAAAATCAAATTGGGAAAAAAAAAAAAGCAAGCTTCATGTACTCACCTTGGGATGGTTTGAATAATGAAGATGGTCTGCCCACGAACAGATTCTTTGACATCTACTCTTGTCTCTATTTAAAGGACAAAAAAATAATAAAAATATATATTTATATATATAATTTGTTAATCTTTTTATACACATCTTTTTTAAACCTTTAACTTCAAATAATCTATACATTCTATAGCCTTTATAAGCTATATATATATATATATGAACATGGAGGAAAAATGACAATTTATGAATGGTTTGTATTTAAAAGTACCCCATTTGCATAACAACCTTAAAGGCAATTCATTACATCAAAAGAAAACGAGAATTTTTAATATATAGCAACAACTTCTTTATCTTTGTCCGTCTACTATATTATTTATCAGATATTGTTTAAAGAATGGTCCCTATGCTTAACCCTTTGCTTAATGCTCACATGGATTTAATGTTTAGTTATTTACATTAAAAAAAATTAGCAATTCTACAATGTTTTTAAGCAAGCAACATATGAATAATCCATAAAAAACCTATACCAGTTCTGTAGTTTATTGCCTTCGATCAGAATCAGAATCAAGTTTTTTGCAAAGTAGGTTTGCTCTTACAACCATGGACGTAATAATGGGGGGGGGACAGGGGGGGCAAGTCCCCTGCACTTTTTCAAACGTGCGTTTAGGTCCCCTGCACGTTTTTCTGTCCAGAAACAATGTTACACTACAGTACGTCCATCGAGCACTTGGTCCATGTGGAAAACAAAAGCTCCTAATTGGCCCGCCGTTTCGTCTTGTGTGATTGGCTGTCTCACCCAGCTGTCACTCCTGAGAAGCTCACTTTACAAACATCTGATGCGCCACTGAATCAGGTTGATTGGATGCTCAAACATGCTGAAGTTAGTCATATTAAAAAACACTTGCGCCCCCCCATCTTCTGAAATAAAAATGTCGTCAACGCCTACAATGAATATGATTTTGTGTTGATGGTGCAGACAAATTACATACATAGACAGAATACAGGATCTATAGCTTTATACAATATATAGTATATAGATATGTACTACTTGATACTCTTAGAGCAAAGTTGCAGGTCAAAGAAGTTTAGATAAACTGCAAACATGATGAGTAAAAATACAAGTTAGTAATCATTTATTTGCATGGAGGAATTTTTTTAAAATTTAACTAATTACTTTTAACTTACCTCTGTTAGATTCTTGAAAGACTACAGACTTTCCCAGTTCAACACCCAACCTCCTGAAAAACAAGATGCACTTTTTCATCAACTGTGTAAACTGATCTATGAGGCTTTTTCTACGTTCACCATCATGTCTAACAGAACAAGTTTTGACTTGTTTCATATTTTTAGTGACAGTTCGTAGTTACACCTCCACCATCCTAAGTGTTTGGATCCATGCGGGTAAAGCTAAACATTAACTAGTGCTGTGGAGGACTCACTCTGTTATCTTCTTAGCCAACTCTGTGCAAGCAGCGGAGGAGTTCGCGGAAAACACACGATAACCACTTTTAGCGACATTCATTGTGAAAGGTCGCTGTTTTTAATGTCCCACAAACTGACTGTCAGCAGCGCCACCTCACTTTAACCCAGCAAACTAACAGAGTTTAGCTTCTTTTTTTTATAACAACGTTGTCGTCGGTTAGCTAACTGAAGCAGACTAGCCTACAATGCTTGGTCTAATTTATTCGATGAAAAAGGTTTAAAGTGCGCCACAAACTTGACTAAACACAGCAGGTAAATAAATACGGTGAAGTTAGCGTGTCTAATGACATGTATATCACGCGGAAAGACAAATGATATAGTCTATGCTCTATCAGGTTGCATGGTAACCTGACAGCTACCCTCATTTGAGAACTACGGAGCGCGAACAGGGTCAATCAGAGATATCAGCTTCGCTTTGAAGTTGGTGTTTCACCTGCCGGATGGCGCTTTAATTATCGGAAAGCACTGCTGTGGGATACAAAGTTCTTAAAATATTTTTTTGTTTTGTTTTGTTTAATAAAATAAAATAAATTAATTCTGCGCAACAGATGAAATAAGATTAATAATACCCTCCATATTTATCATCACCCCTTCTAAATATATCAAAATTAACCACTTCTTCATTGGATTAATGCAACTTTTCCTAGATAGAAATATAAACGACTGATTTTTTATTTGAAAAGTGGGATTTAGAAAACTCAGGTGTTAAAAAAAAGAGGTGTTAATTTCAAGAGTATTTGAGTTATAGGCTAAACCAGGGGGCTTTGGTCCTACCAAAAAAGCTGTAAACGACTTAAACAAAAAAAAAAAAAAAAAAAAAAAATGAAATAAATAAATATACAGATGTATAAATTGATTAATGAATAAATGAGCGGTTTTTTTTTTTTCCTAAAAAAGAGCTATTTAGAACACATTTCCTATATCATATTCATCAGAAATTAGAAGTAGCCATTTCTCAAATAGGTGTCTTTTGTTGATCTAACCATGCAAATCCACATCTTAAACTTTTAACTTGCAATCTTAGGTAGACTTGGGAAAGCATGGCTCCTTGGAAAAAGGTGGCAGACCCCTGCATTAGACTAGAAGGCTAGACCAGAAGCTGCTGTTCTGCAGCAGTTAAATAGACATCTATATATCAAAGCACTAAACACTAACAGTCCCATTAAATCATATAGTAGAGTTTGCAAAATAACCCTGTTTTGACATAAATAGGGCATAAAATCAGGTCTCCTTTATGAAGAATTTAATTTCCCTTAGATTTGCTTACAGTATTAACTATCCACTGTCCTGTAATATACATTAGACATTAGATGCTGCATTTTGCCAGGCTGCTCTAAGGGATGACAAGTGAAACTGGAGAACAAGAAAAGGCAAATACACGATAACCTTTATAAGTTATTAAGAAATCAGATACTGAGCTAGATATGCCAATATTTATATTTAAAACACTGATTGAAAGGTTAAAACTCCTGAAACCAAGAAAAAAAGCTCACATCGTGTGCTGATCTGTTCTATGAGATGGCTTCTGTTGCTTTGATTTTAGTTCAGTCATATTGCTAACAGGTCCCTTGAAATGAAACAAATATTGTTGTTTAACTAAAGAGTGCAGAAAAGATTTGTTGCGAGGCAGCTTGGCTTCCATGTTTCACCAAAGGGTGGCAGCAGAGAACCAACATTGTTTTTCTTGATCAGGCTACAAAAAAACACTTTAAACTGCTAATACCTCTGGGATTCCAGTGTGCCACATTGGTTGTTAATTAATTATGGCTTTTAAGCATCTGGACTTGAATTTTAATTTAAAATCAAATAGCAGCATTTTCTTTCAGCGACCACTGAATTAAAGACTATGATAATATAGAAGAACCTATAAATACCCAGAAAAACGACAGTTTTTCCTCAAAACTGCACCAATTTAGAAAATAAATTATTATAATTCATTAGCCATCAAGATCCATGTGTTTAAAACTAATGGAGGGAATTCTTAACAAGTGGATTTCATCGCCTATAAATATATTTTCTGTCAAATTTATTGAATTAGAAATTCTGAGTGGTAGAATAAACTGATAAAGGTTTTATTTGAGTCCCACTGAAATTTAATCCATCATGAAGAGGGTAGCCTAATGGGATGAAGGGAGGATATATGACCAGGTTTCCATTCTCTGATGTTTTTGTGAGCAAAAAAAAAGATAATAAAGAGAAAACTATGTTTTTGCTGCTTCATTAAAGTTAATCTGAAGATAACATAGAGGCAGAGCCTGTCATCACAGCTCACCAAAATAGATAAAACCCAACTATAAAGAGGGAGCTAAAGATGCTCTTCTTATCTATGATCAGTAATATGGTGGTAAAGGATTGTTTTTACTCATAATCAATTCCCAACCAAGTATGACTACTTTAGTTTTCAAGACCTTTGTAAATAAACTTAAGGTCTTTTATAGAGCTATAAGTGCTGGGTGGTAATTAGTTACCGTTTATCAGTTTACATTTAGGCAACTTGAGAAACTGAGAAAAATATACTTTTGGAAGTACTTTTATTGCATTGTTTTGTTGTTTCTTTTACTCATACTTGAGTAAAAAGTAAAATCTATAAAATAGATTAAGAACAGCAGCATCATGCATGAGTTTGAAAGCATGTTCTAGCCTAAAAACCTATTTTTTCCATAGTGTTGCTGCTGCATAAGGAATACTTTTTTTCTTCCATCCATTTATAAAGCAGAGGTTCAAACATGTCTATCTTTGTTTTTTGGCTTTTCTTTGCTCCTCATTATGCATAGCTTTTGTTACTTTTGTGTGTATGAAAAGAAAGCAATTCTAAAGTATTTTTGAATTGAATTCAAACAAAGCCATATCCGACGATGCAGAGGAAAGAAAAAAAATTCAACAATTTTTTTTTTCACCTGATTTGTAGATCAAAATTAAACAAATAGAGCTACAGCGAGTAAGATTATGTGCAGCCCACATCTTTAAAAACAAATCTTAAAATAAAAAAAACTGTCCGACAGAAACATGGAAACACTAGAGACAGTGGGAACAGTAATAAACACAGCACTATGTAAACACTGGAGGGAACATAGGGTTATTACTAAGCAGAACATGATAAAAGACTAAAACTGAACACAAAAAAGAATACAAAAATGATGAACAAACTTACTGGCATGAGTTAATCATAATTACATCTTAGATCAACAGCAGATGGTTTTAAATAAAACACAAATGGGTGCTGAAACTGTTTTTTTTTTTTTTCAAGCAAATGTCTGAAATGAAGCCAAAAAATCCCCTCATTTTAGATGATTGCTACCAATTCTCCCAGAAAACCTGCCTAAAAATTCAACCAGATATATAGTCAAAAATGTCAGGACTTAGAACATTGGACCCAGAATTCAGGCAGACTGACAGATTCAGACTGAATTGATTTATAAACGCATTTACTGACTACTTGAAAAGTCTGTGGCTCAGCAGCTAGGACTGAATGACCGGAATCTCTGTAGAGGGGAATCTCTGTATACACAGAGTGTATACAAAACGAAACTTTGTTTTGTACAGTTTTCAGACAGTGAATGAATGAGCAGGAGCTTAGCAGTGAAATGAACATTTCCATTTCATAAAATGCAGCAGTGATCAAATGTAAACAGTGGGGGGGAAAAAAACATGAAGTTCGAAGAATTTCAATACAAATATATATGCAGTATTTTGGTTTGATGTCAGTGAGATGCAGAGTCTGTAACATGATTTAGAGTTTTTTCAACAGTTCATCACTCTGATGGCTGTAGGGGATAATCTGCTTTGGAATCTGCTGGACCTGCATTGAATGCTGTGAAGTCTCTTCTCAGAGGGAAGCAGGGAGAACAGTCCATGGTGGGGGTGTGAGGGGTCATTGATGATGTTACGGACTCGGGACACTCAGAGCGGGGATGAAATGTCTTTAATGGAGGGAAGAGGAAACCGATGATCCTCTCTGCTGTTCTCACGACTCTTCTCACTTTCCTCCAGTCAGAGGCGCTGCAGCCTCCACACCACACAGTGAGACAGCTGGTCAGAACGCTCTCTATGGTGCTTCTGTAGAAGGCCATTAGGATGGGTGGGGGAAGGTGGGCTCTCCTCATCCGCCACAGGAAGTACAAGCGCTTCTGTACCCTTTTGACCAGTGGGGTGGTATTTACAGTCCAGGTGAGGCTGTCTGTGATGTGCACCCCCAGGAATTTGGTGCTGCTGACCACCTCTACAGCTGAGCTGTTGATGACCAGTGGAGCATGGTTAAGCCGATTCTTCCTGAAATCGACGATGATCTCCTTCATCTTCTCCACGTTCATCATACTGTTATCTCTGAACCAGCCCACCAGCTGCTCCAACTCCTCTCTGTAGTCCTGGTCGTTGTCGTCTCTGATGAGGCCCACCACTGTGGTGTCATCTACAAACTTGACGCAGTCATGTGTCATCAGAGTAAACAGAAGGGGGCTAAGGACGCAGCCCTGAGGGGAGCCTGTGCTTAGTGTGATGACATATTAGGTGTTCTGTCCAACCCAGACTGACTGAGGACTGTTATTGAAGCCCAGCTGTTTGAGGTTGCCCATCAGATGCTGTTGGATGATGGTGTTGAAAGCTGAACTGAAGTCCAGGAACAGCATCTGCACATGAGTGTTCTTCTCCTCCAGGTGTGCTAGGCTCCGGTGAAGAGCAGAGGAGATGGTGTCCTCAGTGGAGCGATTCCATGGGTAGGCAAACTGGAATGGGTTGAATTTTGAGGATAGACTGAAGACAATGTGTTATTTAACCAGCCTTTCGAAGCACTTCATCATGATAGGATTCAGTGCGACAGGTTGGTAGTCATTAAATGAGGTGACCTGAGGTCTCTTTTGGACCGGAATGATGGTGGCACACTTAAAGCATGCTGGCACTATGGATTAGTCCAGCGAGGATTCCCAAGAAAACACAAGTTCTTGACCATGTAACCTTGACGGAGGACAAGAATGAGTGTGTGAGTCACTAATCTGGTTATAAAGTGCAGTCCAAGCCCAGTGGAAGAGTGGAATCCAGCCGGAGGAATTTCTATAGCATGCAGTGGATGCCGCCAAGAGAGTTCCACAAGCCGAAGCTAAGATGGCTGCAGAGGTAGGGTAGGTGCTTTGTTCCTCTGTTATGGGGTGGAGGGGGGGTGTTGATATCTGGAAGGGATCATATCTATGACTGAATTGTATGTTTTTGGAAGCTGGAATCTGTGTCCACCACCTCTGTTTAAAGTTGTTTTTTTTCTCTTAACATAGATGGCTTCCTTCACGCCTCTCTCAAACCACCTACTGTATCTTCTTTATCCAAAATGAACAGCATATACCACTCCGCTCATATGCGGTCTGGGGGTTTTATCTTTAGGATGCACTAGCCT